GCGCAGCACGGCGATCGCTGCCTACGCTCAGAAGTTGACGGCCTCCGACGCCGCAGCGAGCGATCGGAAGGCTGCGAAGGCCGGAAGCCCCTTCTAACGTCAGATGCTGATTTGCCCGATCCCCCACATTGTCATGATCCGGAGTTGTGTTATGTAAGATGTTCGGGTCACTTGAAAAACTTACATGCACCAGTGTGAAAACTAGCTTGATCACAAGCTGAAGCACTGAAACTTGAGAGCCTGAGCCCATCCTTCCTGAGATGCCTGAGCTGAGCTTTGCTCATAAGGCTCTCAGGCTGCCTCGCGCCTCTGGAAGAATGATATGTGACAGTGGAAGCTAAAACATCTTGAAGTTCAACACTTAAAAACCTTGCAGAAGACTGCCAGATCCCTTCTGCTTCTGTGCTCATAAGCCCCCCCCCTCCCCTTCATCCCTTCGGGTTCTGTGCTTCTGGGGCAATCGTGGCCGCCTTGCCTACCTGCCTATCAACTTGCTACAGAGACCCGCAAAGACCACAGTTTTTTCATCAGGAACAGTTGCCTTTGACCCACGCACCGCGCGCAGGTCGATGGGGCTGTTGAGGCCAGCTTGCAGCAGCTCTGCCAGGCAAGTGCAGAGCAGCCAGGGAGGGGGCAGACACTGAAGCGTCGCCAGCTTTTGAGTTCTTTAGGGCTTTATCGCGGCGGGTTTGAGGGTGGTATTTCGGGAAGGTTTTTGCCCTTTGTCCTGGTGGCTAGATCACAATTCCTGCAGATATGGGTAAGGAAGCAATGATGACCGATACTACCGACTGTGCTTAGAAGTTGCTGATGGTCTTCATCTTTCTGTATAGTCTTCGTCACGAGGTTACCGGCAAAAATGCATGGGGACCAGAGTTAAAAGCCCGAAGCCGTCAAATGAAAAGGGTCACGGGCGGTGCGATAAGCAAATAGAATGGGAATTGGACGGCACAAGCAAATCAAGAGGGTGATGGGCGGTGCGCTGTCAGCAAATGAAAGGGGCCTGGGCGGTGCTATAAGCAAATGGATTAGGTGCTATAAGCAAATGGATTAGGGATGTGGCGGGGCTACAAGCAGATGAAAAGGGTCATGGGCGGTGCTTTAAGCAAATGGAAAGGGTTTTGGGCGGTGCTACAAGCACATGAAAGGGGTCATTGGGGGGTGCTATAAGCAAATGGAAGGGGGCTTGCGCGGTGCTGCAAGCAAATGGAATGGGGATGTGCGGGTGTTACAAGCAAATGAAAAGGATCATGCGCGGTGCCATGAGCAAATGGAAAGGTCTTGGGGGGGTGCTATAAGCACATGGAAGGGGTCTTGGGCAGTGGTATAAGCAAATGGAATGTGAATTGGGCGACGCTACCAGCAGATGAAAAGGGCCATGGACGGTGCTTTAAGCAAATGGAAAGGGTTTTGGGCGGTGCTACAAGCACATGAAAGGGGTCATGGGCGGCGCTAGAAGCAAATGGGAGGGGGCGTGGGCGGTGCTGTAAGCAATTCGAATGGGACTTGGGCGGTGGTACAAGCAAATTAGGAGGGTCATGACCAAAATCAACCTTTGGGGTCGAAAAAGCAACATCCCCTCCTTCAAAGCCCCAGTTCTCGCCCCAAGCCCCGTAGCGCCGTGGCAGCGATTCAGACCCTCAAGAGCTTGAAAGGCGCGCCTCCGCGCCCGCCGAGAGGCAGGGCGCTTGCCGGCACATCTTTCTTCAAGCTCCACAGATTGTTGTTTGGTGTAGAGTGCAACCACAACCTGAAGAGTGAGGAACAGGGAGAAGCCACATCGACTCAGCTTGCCCCAAGAAACGGTAAGTAAGATTGGGTAAGGTTGTTTTCATCACGCCTCGAGCTTCTGCTGTACAGGCCGCCGCTCTGGCGCAGGCCGCCTGCAAGTTTCGGGAGTGCAGCGATAGGGCCGAGAATTGCCAGCAGCAGTACTTCTATTCACATCAAGCGAGGCAGAAACCTGCTTAGTTTCTGTTTATAGTGACCCTTCCATCCCCAGACAGTGGCCGGTGAGGTAGCGTGCCCGAAGACCCAGCGCACCTCTGCCGGCAGGTTCCTCAGGGAATCCAGCTGCAGGTGTTCCTCGACCTGGTCGAGGAGCCTGCTTGCTTGTGAAGATGACTGCTGAGCATCAGCCATCCTACTGAGCAGAGGAGAACAAGGAGTGGCTGGAGCTGCCCACCGGCCGCGGCAAAGGCCGCAAGAACATGTACGACGTCTGCGCCGAGCTCGTCATCGCCCGTGCCTGAGCGCCCTCCCGAGTGCAAGTTCGCGTGCATCCTTCTGCACTCGCTGGCCGGGCTTCTGACGCCGAGGTGCACACGACCTGCAGCTGGGCTCGGAAGTGATGGGACTGTGGGGTGGTCATGGGGTGGTCTCAGCGGTTTTTCTCTGTTCGTCTGCTCGATTCAAAATCCACAACAGCACTCTCGTCTTACAGCGCGGTCGGCCGGGGAGCAAGAAAAGCCCAGGCGAGGAGAAGGTGCTGGTGCTCTCCGAGGAGGCCGCTCGCAAGCTGTCGGTGGCCTTGGAGAAGCAAAGCGAGGCCCGCGTGCGCCTGCTGCAAACCCGTGCGGAGGTAGTATACGCTGCCGCCCGGACCTTCATAGGAGCGGCTCTTCGAGGAGGGCTCCCTGCAGTTCCGCAAGAACACCGTGCTCGAGGGCATCGAGGTCGCCGCTCGGCTCAGTTCGAAAGCTCCCCCTCGCAAGGCTTAGCTTTGCTTGGCTTTTGCCTCAGCGCCTTAAGGGCGCCTTCACAATCGAGGGCGTCCTATGCTGGGCACCCAGCCATGGAAGCGAGAGGGCTGCAGAGTAGCGCAGTGACACGCTGGCCGTTGCTGCAGGCGAGGGTGGGAGCATGCGGAAGGATTACTGGGCCGACACCGCCACTTGCCTGCCACAGCGTCACCACACATGTCTCTGTCGGATAGTTGTAGAATCCGTCTGATGCATTCCTTCTGCCAAGAGTGCTGACATCACGAACGTGTGCCTTGGTTGCCCGAGGATCGGCAGCGGCGTTGGAGAACCGCCGCCGAGCACGGGCGGACAGCGCAGGACATCCGCCGCTTTCCCGAGCATGCAAATTTGAGTCGAGAGCTGCGCGCGTGGCGCAAGGAGTGTTTGGAGGAAGTGCAGGACGTGCAAGAGCTCCCGGAGGCCCTGTGCGGCGGACAGCTCGGAGAGGAGTCGGCGCGAAGGAACAAGGGCCTGCTGAAGAAGGCTGGGACGGCCATCGTGCTCCGGAAAGGTGCACCCTGGAGGCACTGCAGTCAGGAGTACTTATTCGGATTCGGGTTTAGGGTTGAGGGTTTAGGGTCAGGATTTAAAGTTTAGGTGTAGCTTCACAGAGCTTCGGACGTTGATGGGTGTACAGTTCTTTACACAACTCTTCAACGTATCCGAAAAAACACACTTGTGCTGCGAGTGTTTTTCAAGGTAGCGTATGCCGAGCTCTACGATCCGGGTGAGTTTGCGCCCCTCAATGCCTTCGTATCCCACTACTGGGGAGAGGAGCCTGCACATCGTCACGTCATGCGGCTTCCTTGAAGGCTTTGGCAGGCGATACTGCTCCAACTTGCCTCTGCGCAGGCGACTTTGGAATTCAAGGCGTCTCTCCTGCTGCACGCCCAGAAGGTCTTCCCCTCCGACCCAGGAGCGATTTGTAGGGCCACGCTGGAACTAGGCGAAGTTTCACACGTCGGGCTTTTACTTCTTGCCACGGGGCCTGGGGCATTTCATCAGGAAAGATGGTCTACTACATCTGCACGTTGCTCGGCGAGGACTGCAGATCTCAGGGCACTTGCGCATTTGTGCAGCAACTCTCTCCGGCTGATGCTGTCAGCATGAGGCAATTCCCGGATCATCTCACCTCTCCCAGGGACTGAACTTGTCCAGGGATGGCAAGCAAGTCATAAGCTAAATAGCGTCGTTGCAACGATGGTTACTCGTAATGTTCACTTGGCGTGGCTATCTTGGAGCAGTTCCAAGCAGGCGCTGCATATTGCCTCAACTGCACAAGAACTGCCCTGTCATTATCAGTTAAGTGCTTACATTTTCTGGAGTCATGGTCTATAGCTACAGTTATATGCTGCAGAATGAAGAGAGAAGAGTAGGGTACCAAGTACAAGTCCATCAGCATAAAACAGGGCTCTGTCGCAGTCTCTGCGCCCAGGTTCTGCAACAATCAGCACTGCGTGGTCCGGGCCCTGATGCACTTGCAGATCACCCAGTGAACCAGCGTAGGAGGCACGACAGGTCAGCTGCTCCGTCACCGGAGTCTTGTGGGGTGGGAAGCCTCGCGTGTGACCAAAATCTTGGGCTTGGGATGGTTCTCCTCTCTTCATTCTTGCCTTCTGCTCCCCCTTTAAAGGAGCGTCTTCGTTTACGTGCACTCTGTATATGTGCCTTTCAAGACAAAAGTGAAGAGGCACTGAGGCCCTGAGAGCTGAGGATTTGGGGACCGACTGGCGCCAGTCGCCTTTCAACCGGGCCCTGGAGTGGGTCGCCTCCTGCCCCGAGACCCGGAGTTTCGACACATCTTTTGTGCATGTGTACTCGATGTTTATATGGTATGCAGATCTATCTATCTATCTATCTATTTTTCATTCATATACATATATCTTCATCTATACACATATACACATGATAGTACTACACGATATGTATATGTGCACATCTTGCAGTTTTACACAGATGAACTTGGCAGCTTCTTGTCCACATGAGCCTGAAAAGTTCAAGTTGACATTGTCCCCTGAAGCCGAACACTGCGGGGGGAGCCACGTAGGACTTGTGGGCCCTGGGCTCTGCAGGCTACGAGGAGTGCCAGGAGCCCATGTACGGTGCCGTGATGATGCCTGGGCCTCGGCCGCGGTGTTATCTGCCACCACCTGAGCTGTCGGCTTCTGCGCAAAAGTTCTGCAAGCTGCAAGGTTTGACAAGGACTGCAGCACTCTGACGCGGCCCGGCGGCAAAGCTAAATTTTGGTCTCCTGCATGCAACTCGGCCTCGGCGCACCATAGGATCAGGAGGGGGAGCTGATGTGAGAAGTTGGCTTTTTTGGCCCTCGGCCCTCAGGAGGATTTGGTGCATCTTCGAGATCTTCCGGTGCAGCACCCTGGGCATCCAGCTGGATCTGCGCCCTGGCAGCCGACAGAGGGTCGCAAGGCTTTTGGGGCAGTTTGTGTTCTTGAGGGCACTCGTAGCTGTGGAGTGACAATGGCCCTTGCGGTGGTTTTATTCGGGTTTTTTTTGCGGCCTGCAGCGGCGTCTCATGCTCACGTGCAATGTTTTTGAAGCTGGCTCCAGGTTCAGCGCTTTCAGGCATTTGGATGTAAGGAACTTATAAGAGTATGTGCTTGCGAACTGCACAGCAAAGGAAAAGAGCCGCAGGTTTCGTGCTCACTGTCCCTCACTCCACGCCTCAGCATACCCGGTTCATGCCCTAGCCCTGCGCGCATATGTACTACACAATTCAAGAACCTCTGCAACGAAAGCTGCTGCTCCCATTCGCTGCAGGTACACCTGCGACGGCCAGCTGTGCCGTTCCAGCCACGAGGCGCTGCTGACCCAGCTGATGCGGGAGATCCTGCAGAAGGTTCAGGACCGTCACGTAAGAGAGTTCATTCATTCCATGTTGCAAGGAAGGCAGCGCGCACGCACCCAAGGGCATCTTGCACATGTAGCTTCCGGCCCGTAAATGCCGCAGGGATCACAGGGATCACCCCCCCTCTCCCAATCCTTGCTGTTGGTTAGCAGGGAATGGGGGAATGGGGTACCCTGTATAATCCCGTAAAGGGTGAAAAAAAGATATAGACACAGAGAGAGAGAGAGAGGGATATGGGGTACCTCATTCCCGCATTCCCTGCTAACCAACAGTAAGTCCATGAAGGACATAGACATCCGGTACTGCGACGCCTCCGAGCAGTCAGCGGCTTGCCCGAGCTTTGGCCTTCCTGCCCTTCCACGCCCTGCAGCTACCAGCCTTAGAATCTCCTAACGCTATTTTAAGGGCATTGTTAAGGTGTCATAGGGGGCATAGTGGCCCATGCAGGTAAATAAGCGCATGCCGACGTAGTCAACAGCATTCAGCGTTCACAATAGCGGGAATCCTGCATGCTTGGATCATTTTTGGGCAGTGTAAAGCCGTTCCACAGGACAAGGTGATGATCGAGGCGGCCATCGCTGAGCACCCGGGCGGCTGGACGGCGGTCTTCGGCACCATCCAGCTCCAGGCCTCATGTTGAGTCGCTCTTTCCTATGCGTGAACTGAACGAAAGGAGTTCTGATCTGTTCTGACGTGCGTGGTTTTCTCTGTCTCTTTCGGGGAGGTGGTGGATTTGCTCAGCTTCGCCGCCATCCTGGCGGTCACACGAGACAAGCTCACAGGCGTGGAGTGGCAGCGGCAGCATAGGCCACCTCGCGGCCGACCCTCGCAGGCCGCCGCATCGACCCGGAGGACCTGGAGCTTCGGGACATGCGGACCGGCGAGGCCCCGATTTGTATGCTTTGACGCCAGCTGAAGAAAGGGGCAGCGTAGGGGGATGAGGCGACATGTATGCGGAATGATGCGGATGCCTCCAAAGTGCAGGTGAAGCTCTCCACGCAGGTCATCAAGGATTGCATCCAGGCAGATGCCCCGTTATGGGTCGCACTCTCTTTTAAGCCTATAATCCTCAAATCCCGGCTCACTGATCCGCTCCATCTGTCAGGGCGAGGGCCCGTCCCGGATCCTGCTGACTGGGCCAGGAGGCTCCGTGGCCATACCTTTGAACAATTCCGGTGCAACCACCCATTTGCGGAGTTTGTTGGGTGGGAGTATATAGAGAGTCACAGAGAGACAGGCTCCGGAAAGACGGTCTTCTCCATGGAGGTCGTGCGTCTCGCCGTGCCCTGTCACGCAATTGGCACGCGAGGGCACGAAGTTTTGTGAATGAATCCGTGTCTCACGTGTACTGGCAGGCGGAGCTGGCAGGTCCATGGCTCAGGTTTTTGGAAAAGAATGCCTGCCTGTCCTGCTGACACATCGTGCCGTCTCGTCGAAACCCAAAGAAGTGCACGGCGCGCGCGCGCGCCTCCTGCTTCGCAGAACTTCTGTCGTGCTCCCGACGCTGTTAATGTGGATCGGCCTCCTTGCATGATCCACTCCATAGTTCTCGCGAACCCGTTCGACCGTCGGGCGATCTGTATGGCGATCTGCCGAAGGGGCCCGAAGAGAATTATTCCTCCCTGTCTAAAAAAACTTCTGGAGTGCAAGGCGAGCAGGCACTGATTCTCTCGCATTTGCTCTCACATGTTCTTGGTCCTTTCGCGTGCCCTTGCAGTTGTGAGGCGCCAACTCGGCCAGCATTTTGCCGGTGCGGGTTCCTTTGGCCGAGCTGGCGCAGTACGCCGAGGACACCAAGGAAGTTTCGGGGCCTTGCTCCTTGCGAAATCGAGTGAGAAGCTGGGCACTGTTGCAGGAGGGGCATGCTGGGTACCAGGATCCCAGCCCCGACTTGTCCCTGTCCTGCAGTGTCTGGCTTGGTTTCGGGTTTGGGGTACCTTGGACCCTCCTTGGGTTTTGGGGACCCTGTTTTTTTGTCCCGAAAAGAATATGATAAGGGCCAAATCAGGAGTACATGAAGGGGAACCGGTAGGGGTACAACCTGAGCGGCAATTACGGTAAGTCCCTTGATACAAGCCCTTAAGGGTCCCTGAACCCTAAACACTAAACGAAGAGTCCATGTTGCCAAGGCAGGAACGCATGCCCAAAGTACTGCGCGGCCGAAACCCTGAAGAATACTCTAAACCCCAAACCCTGAAACCCAAATCCCTAAAGCCCAAATTTCCTAAGCCCGAAAGCTTGCAACTCTACCCCCGAACCCTAAACCCCAAAAAACTAAACCTTAAAGCCTCCACTCTTCCCTTGGCGCCAGCTACACAGCAGGTCTATAGGGTTTAGGGCAGTTCATGTCTTGGGGGAGTTGTTTGGGTTTTAACAACATCCTTGAGAAGTGAAGGTTCGCCGGGGGGGTGGGGGCAGGCAACCGAGTAACCTCCAACTGCGGTACCACCCTTTTGACGCTTTCATCACGTTCTGGATTCCCTTATGAAAGCAACCGACCCTAGTCAAGAAATCAGGGCTCCAGAGGCCCCTTAGGACCGTAGGCAGAGGCTCTTTAGTTAGAGGCCCCAGAGAGTAGGAATTCACTTTCGATGCTACACTTTGGCTCAAGGTAAAAAGGCCCGCTAGATGCCCTTTAGCTTAAAGTTAAGGGTCGCGGCCGGGGTTGATCCCAGTGGGGTTCCCCCTCCTTTGTTTCCCCCTAGGGTGTTCCACGCGTACTTAAGTGGTTATCAAGCCGTAGCTCTGTGGGCCCGTAGATCCACCCCGGCCTTTTTAGGTTAGGGTTTAGCCCTGCTCGAGAGTTCTGCCCCGCGCGCACTGAGCAAAGGGCATAGGAACGCCCCGGTGGTAGCGCATGGAAGAACAGCACCACCGGGGAACCCGCGGAGGAAGCAAGGCCCGGAAGAAGAACTTCTACCGTGGCCAAGACCTGGTGCGTAAGCTTGCGTGGAAGCAGCACTACGCCGAGATCGACCGCCTGGACTTTGAGGAGAACGTCGACGACATCCTCCCGGGTATAATCGAGCGGTTCGAGCAGGAGCACGAAGCTGGGTGGTTGAGCCGCGACTCTGAGATTTGGGCGGAGTTAGCGGTCTACTACCCACCGCTCCGCGGCGTGCGCCAGGCACAAAGGGCCGGGATCGGGCCAGAAGATCCCGTGCCTAAGCCAAAGCCAAAGGCGAAGGCGAAGGCGAAAGCGAAAGCGAAGTCGGACCCAAAGGCGAAGGCTGCAGCTGTGGCGCAGCAGGATCCACCAGAGCCAGCGGCCACTTCCTCAGAGGGTGCTGCTGCTCCAAGCGCACCGGTCCTGCGCTTGACGCGGATCCTGCTGTGCCCCAGCCAGCTGAGGCGCCTCCGACGGTGGACGAACCCGACGCCGCTGTAGCTGCGCACGAAGACTCACAGCCGATTTCGGTCGACTACGACCCGGACGACGTTGAGGAGGAGGTCGAGGGTGCTGCCCAAGGCGCACCTAAAGAGGAGGTTCACCTAGGTGCCGAGGTTCAAGGCGAGCAAGAGGTTGAGGAAGAAGGTTGCCACCAGTCAGCGGAGGAGGACCTGGAGGAGGAGTCACTTGAACAAGACGCGCCCGTTGAGGTCGCAGAGGCGCAGCAAGGTCCAGGACCCCTCCGCCACGCATCTCCAATAGGCAGCCCCTAATCCTTACCCCCGCCAACTCAGCCTTCCCTACTATAAGGGTCGATTCCCAGGGTGTGTGGGAACGCAGATCTGGCCCCAGATCGGTCCCTGTGTTTGTGGCTCCACCAAGGGAGCTGCCACAAGGCGCTCCGTTTCATCTGGGAGACAATTCGGCCTACGACCTCCCTGACGAGGCGTGGCTCGATCCAGGTGCGTACCAGCAATCGCACTCAAGCCCTGGACAGCCAAGGGGTGTTCCTGCATATAGCCTCTCCGTTTGGGACGACGCTCCGGGCGAGGGTGCTGCTACAAGCGCATCAAGCCGAGGTCGTGGCAGGTCCTTTAGTGTACCGCCCACAAAAGCGGCTCGTTTGGCTGTTGGGCGTTTGCGGCCAAGGACAGGTGTTGAAGAGGCACCAGCCTACGACGGCCCGGCACCCTCACGCCCGGAACACAAGGCGTCAGGCGCACCGCGGCGGGTGGTCTCCCCTCAACCGCCAAAACCACCCCGGCGGCGCCTAGCAATCCCCCGCCAAGCAAGGCGAGGCCGTTGCGCATTGCGCGGCAGCCTACCACAGTCCAGCTAAGGCCAAGGCACGCGCGCTTTGAGCCCTCGGACGTGGTCTTGCCAGACTTAGAGGCTCCAAGGCAGTACAAAAGGCAGGTGTCAAAGCCAAAGGGTGCTGCCACCTCTGAGGCGCACCAGGCTTCTTCTTCTAAGGCAGTGGCACACGTGGTTCAGGGTGCAGCCGAACCAATTCCCGCACCCGTGACACCACCGAAGGCGCACCAACCACCGCCGCCGCCACTGCCGAAGAGCGCAGCCAAGCCAATTCCGGCGCCTGTGACGCCGCCAAAAGCTCCCGCTCCCGTGACACCGCCAAAAGAGCACCAGCCACCGCCGCCGCCATTGCCAAAGCCGCCACCTCCCCCACCGCTGCCGCCAACCAGAGGTCGCACAGAAACTCGAGACGGCAGCTCTGTGGGCAAGGAGGGGCGGACCATCCAACAGAAGCAAAGGCCTGCTTCAGCAAGAGCACGTCTCCACGAGGCGCCGAATCCGGCACCTCCAGCCCTTAGCGTCCCATATAAGGTGCCTCCGGCCGACCGCGACGGCATAGTCTTCAAGTCGCCTCCGGAGCGCACCGGTTTCCTACAAGGGCCCCCCAGGACCGGTGTTCCTTCGCGTCGTGGGCAAAGACGCGTACCCGGCCACAACAGTCAGGACAAAGGCTGCCCCGCTACACGCGCTTGGCGAGCATCAAAATCGAGCCGCCTATCATCGCTGGCAAGCGGAGGCAGCAGCTGGCGCCCCAACCTCATCAAGGGGGCAGCCTGAGCCTCTTCTCTCCGCTCAGGAGGCTCAGTCCTCAAGACCGTTGTGGACGCTAATCCTAGATTGGCACGGCACGGTAGACCGGGATTGGAGTGTGCAGAAATTTACTCCAGACTTCATTTCTGCCCTCCGCGACCTTGCCTCGGAGCACGGACCAATCAACGTGTGTCTGTTCTCCTTTTCCGGCAGAAACAAGGCCGAAGAGTACGCTCGTACGTGCCTAAGACCGGGTGCCAGGGAGCTGCGCAACGCGCTCCAGGATATAAGTCCCCGGGCCGTTCCTCAGTCGACTACGCCCAGTGCTACGAGAGGACGGGAGACGGGGGCAAAGCCCAGGCACTCGTTTCTTTTAACCCAGCAGCATCCGTGGTGGTCGACGACAACTTTGATATCTGCACGGAGTGTCAAAAGGTAGGGCCTTGGGTCTACCGTGCGACATCCGGTAGCTGCACCGACATTCTCCGCAACGTGCACAGTGATATCATAGCTGCTGGGGGGAGGCACAACCTTCCATTGGCGCGTGCCCTGCAGCCGCACGAACACGTCCGCGACTCAAAGTCGTGGCGGTGAGTTTCGTGCCCGCCCCACCTGCAGCGCCCGAGGGTGCTGCTCCCAAGCGCACCAAGGGGCAGCTTGGTTTAGTGGTGGTTTAAGGTGGGCTGTAGGGGGGGTGCATAGAGTAAGGTTTAAAACCACTCCGTGTGCAGCGCTCCCAGAGAGTGCTGCCCTGGGCGCACTAGCCAACGGTTGGTTGGTTGGTTAGGTAGTGCCCGGTTTAGGGGTGGCTGCCGAGCCACAGGCGCACCAAAAGGGCTTGGCTCTAGGTGTCAACCTTTGGCTTAACAACTTTGCCCGTGCGAAGTCCGGGCCCAATCCGACACAAAGGTTTTGTTTGCACTGGGTGCTGCGTAAGCACACCGAAGCTCGCCCGCAGCAGCAAAAAGTGGTCTTTGTCGAGCGCAGGGTTTGGGTTAACCTCTAAGCCCCTAAGTACTCTAGTTTAAGTTTCGGCTCAACTTCGGATCAAGTGGGCAGGTGAAGCCATGGCTAGGTCATCTAGCATCTCCCCACCATCTGATGGTCGCTCCAGATCCTCTCCGGATTCGTTTAGTGACCCAGAGTTACTTGCGGATAGTAGAGCCCTGGTCCCTGCGGCCTCGACAATTGTTCGTTCTGGAAACAGGCCTCCGCCACAAAACCCAAGAACCCCTTTATAGGCTTCGGGTAGCAGAGGACTCCTCGTCCTCAGGGGCCACCCCCGTCCCACAACGACGGGCTCCAGAACTCAGTGCCACACAAGCCACCTTCCTGGCAGGAGCCGCCATGCAGACAGCGCACCATGCGTCAGGCGTAGCGCTTCATGCCGCCAATGCTGCTCACAACGCGGCAGGGAGGGAACAGCTTGCTCAGCAGGCAGCGGCTGCGGCCGCGGAACGCGAGCATTTGGTGACGCAACAAGCGCGAGAAGTCATCAGTCAGATGACAGTGCAGACCGCCCAGAATGAGGAAGTCTTGCGTGCGCAAGCCCATGCCATTGCAAGTGCTGCTCAGAGCGCACTGTCTGATGCCCAGGTTCGTGAAGAGTCCTTAAGAGCACAGGCCCAACAGGCCCTGCAACAAGCGGATGCCATGGCTCATCGGCAACTTGCTGAGGCCAGGGCAGAGGTCTCTCGCGTTGAGGCCGCTCGCGCACAGGCCGAAGGCGCATGGCATGTTGCAGAGGACGCTCGCCAAAGAGCGGAGCGCAGGAGTCAAGAGCTACAGCTTCAGGTCGACACGGCCGACACCCGCACCCGCGACCTAGAAAGCCAGGTCGCGGCGCTCAAGCGGAAGCTTGCTAGCACTCAAGCGGACGCCCTTGCAAGAGTCCAAGCCCTCACTGGGCAGCTTTTGCACGCCAGAGAACAAGGTTTTG